ACGCCTGCACCAGTGTAATTCATCGTGAATCCCCCATGGCGGAGCCAGGCCACTGGCGAGCAGTTACTCTGCGAGTCGTGGAACGCGCTTGTCCACTATAGGCCACCGGCTCCCCGGGCGGTGGCTCTGGGCACGCCTGCATTGCAAGGGGGGGGGTCGAGCCCATCCCCGCTGCCAGCCGCGCCCCCCGCGCCGAACGCGCCGTCGGGACGACGACGACCGCGACGACGACGACGACGACGACGACGACGACGACGACGACGAACACAACGACGACGATGACGACGACGACGACGACGACGACGACGACGACGACGACGATGCCGATGACGACGACGAGCACAACGACGACGACGACGACGAGGACAACAACGACGACGACGACGACGACGACGACGTCGTCGTCGCCGGCAGCGAGCGCGCGGTCGCCGAGGGCCGCCCGCAGCCGCCGCCCGGCGCGCCGCCGCCGACCCCCTCGACCCGGGACGACGACGACGACGACGACGGCATGCTCGTCGTGGGCAGCGAGCGCGCGGTCGCCGAGGGCCGCCCGCAGCCGCCGCCCGGCGCGCCGCCGCCGCCCCCTCGCCCGGGGGGCCGCGCGGCATGCTCGCGTGGCTGGGCGCGCGGCGCGCGGCCGCGGCCGCGGGCGCCGGGGGGCCGCGGGCCGACGCCGGGACGGGCGGCCCGCCCCCGCGTTTTCCAGGCAGCGCTCGGGCGCGGGCCTCTGTCTTGGCATCGCTCGGACGAGTGCACTTTTTCTCGGCGAGAACCACCGAGGACCATCCTGGACCATCGAGCAAAAAAAACACGCACGAAACCGAAAAATGCACGGGAAATGGACGTCCGAGCGACGGCAAGCTGTGGGGTAGAGCCAGGACCCCAGGTAAGGGGGCCGGGTCAGTGTTGAGTCGGGCCAGTGTCCCCCCTCAGGGGGATTTTGGGGGAAAAAGATAATAAGAAAATATTTCCGAATGGTCAAACGGTGCTCAAAAAGCAGTCCCCAGACTATTTTTGGACTATTTCTGAATGTTCCCCCTGTGAGGGACAGGCCCGACTTCAAGGTAAGGGGGCCCGGTTAGTGATAGTCGCAGAGCGCGTTCCACTATTCGCAAACGTCCGAACAACTTTTTCCCAACCCTCCTTGGTTGGGTATTCGTTTTGAATAGAGCAGTGAGGTCTCCACTCCTTCCTTCCTCCTCCTCCTCCCTCCCTGCCTCTTCCTGGCTTGCCTGCGGGGGGCTGCGATCTGAGAAACTGTCGCCATTTTCGGGGCCTGCTGGGGGGCCCAGCACAGTGAGGGCGACGCGCAGATTGAAATTAGACCTCGCCATCCCTGGGGGGCTGCGATCTGTGAAACTGTCGCCATTTTCGAGGCCTGCTGGGGGGCTCAGCACAGTGAGGGCGACGCGCAGATTCAAATTAGACCTCGCCATCCCTGGGGGGGCTGCGATCTGTGAAACTGTCGCCATTTTCGAGGCCTGCTGGGGGGCCCAGCACAGTGAGGGCGACGCGCAGATTCAAATTAGACCTCGCCATCCCTGGGGGGCTGCGATCTGTGAAACTGTCGCCATTTTCGAGGCCTGCTGGGGGGCCCAGCACAGTGAGGGCGACGCGCAGATTCAAATTAGACCTCGCCATCCCTGGGGGGCTGCGATCTGTGAAACTGTCGCCATTTTCGAGGCCTGCTGGGGGGCCCAGCACAGTGAGGGCGACGCGCGGATTCAAATTAGACCTCGCCATCCCTGGGGGGCTGCGATCTGTGAAACTGCCGCCATTTTCGAGGCCTGCTGGGGGGCCCAGCACAGTGAGGGCCACGGGCAGATTCAAATGAGACCTCGCCATCCCTGGGGGGCTGCGATCTGTGAAACTGTCGCCATTTTCGAGGCCTGCTGGGGGGCCCAGCACAGCGACGCCACGGCAGATTCAAATTAGACCTCGCCATCCCTGGGGGGCTGCGATCTGTGAAACTGTCCACTTTCGAGGCCTGCTGGGGGGCCCAGCACAGTGAGGGCCACGGGCAGATTCAAATGAGACCTCGCCATCCCCTGGAGGCTGCGATCTGTGAAACTGTCGCCACTTTCGAGGCCTGCTGGGGTGCCCTGCACAGTTACGCCACGGACATATTCAAACGAGACCTCGCCATCCCTGGGGGGCTGCGATCTGTGAAACTGTCGCCATTTTCGCGGCCTGCTGGGGGGCCCAGCACAGTGAGGGCCACGCGCAGATTCAAATTAGACCTCGCCATCTCTGGGGGGGCTGCGATCTGTGAAACTATCGCCACTTTCGAGGCCTGCTGGGGGGCCCAGCACAGTGACGCCACGGGCAGATTCAAATGAGACCTCGCCATCCCTGGAGGCTGCGATCTGTGAAACTATCGCCACTTTCGAGGCCTGCTGGGGGGCCCAGCACAGTGACGCCACGCGCGGACATATTCAAACGAGACCTCGCCATCTTTGGGGGGGCTGCGATCTGTGAAACTGTCGCCACTTTCGAGGCCTGCTGTGATCGCCGTGTTCGAAGTGGCTAGGAGTGTTCAGGAATTGTAACTCATCAGCTTTATCAAGCTCTTTTCCTGTAGCCAGTGTCCTGCGAGTCTCCCGAATTCCGTCTGCAGACATATGTAACCCTCGCTCCGTCATCGCCACCTTATAAAGTATCCTAAACTATTTGCGCCCCGCTTTTGCGCAGGGGTTGGGTACGTCGCCAGGGTAATTTCCCCATATCCTCAGATGGGGTTCTTCTCATTACTTGGACGCCTCCTACCCCTCCTCCTTCTCCTTCTCCTCCCCTCTCCTCCTCATACCCAGACTTACTCATACACAGACTGACTCACACTCAGACTTACTCATACCCAGACTTACTCACACACGAAATTACTCATACTCAGACCTACTCATACTCAGACCTACTCCTACTCAGACTTACTCATGGTGAGACTCACGCACGCCCCGTTCGCGGCCGTTTTGTGGGGAGGATGTCTCAGGCGGGGCGCTGGCTTCAGCCCCCCTCAGGGGAGCCGCCAGGGGTGTTTTCACGGTCCCGTTCGCGGCCGTTTTGTAGGGATGTCTCAAGCGGTTTGCCTGTTTTTCGGTCCCAGCTCCTTCGCTTTCGGAGCAGATTTGAAGGATGTCTCGAGCGAGGCGCTCATTTTCAGCATACCTAAAGGGAGCCGCCAGGGATGTTTTCATGGTCCCGTTCGCGGCCGTTTTGTGGAAATGTCTCAAGCAGTTTGTTTGTTTCCTGTCCCAACATCCTTCGCTTTCGGAGCAGATTTGGAGGATGTCTCGAGCGAGGCGCTCATTTTCACGTCCCTAAGGCGAGCCGCCAGGGGTGTTTTCACGGTCCCGTTCGCGGCTGTTTTGTAGGGATATCTCAAGCGGTTTGCCTGTTTTTCTGTCCCAGCTCCTTCGCTTTCGGAGCAGATTTGGAGGATGTCTCGAGCGAGGCGCTCATTTTCAGCATACCTAAGGGGAGCCGCCAGGGGTGTTTTCACGGTCCCGTTCGCGGCCGTTTTGTGGAAATGTCTCAAGCAGTTTGTTTGTTTCCTGTCCCAACATCCTTCGCTTTCGGAGCAGATTCCGAGGATGTCTCGAGCGAGGCGCTCATTTCCCCCCCCAGGTGGGCCAGATTTTGAGGATGTCTCGATCGGTGGCCAGACTCGTGGGCGCAGATTCTCCCCAGGATGCCACAGGAGGCTCCAACAGGCTCCAGGAGGCCCCAGAATACCACATGAGGTCCCAGGAGGCATAGGAGGCCACAGAAAGACTCAAGAGGCCACAGGATGTCCCAAGAGGCTCTAGGAGGCCCCAGGAAGCTCCGGGAGGCCTCAGGCAGCCACAGTAGGCCCCAGGAGGCCAGAGGAAGCGCCAGGAGGCCTCGGAAGTCAACAGGAGGCCATTATCCTTTCAAAGATGCACATATGGGGATCTCCACGCAGTGAGTAATTTTCGTTTCGACGAGATTTGCCGTAGATCCCCCGCGGCGGATCCAGGCCACTCGCCAGCAGTTGCTCTGCGAGCAGTGGAGCGCGCTCGTCTATTCTCTGGCACCGCTCGGGCGTGTGCCTCTGTCGGGTATGGCCAGGGCCCCAGGTAAGGGGGCCCGGTTAGTGGTAGGGCCCCGGAGCCCCTGACTGGCCAGAATCCATCGGTCGGGTCTGCCGTGGTCGGTGCTGGTGTTTTTTCGGGTGGCGGCAGTTCTGGTAGTAGTAGAAGGGGCGGGGGGGGCGTCCCCCAGTGCCCCCGTAAAACAGGGCTAGGATCGGGATAAATCGCTCCAGAGCGTTCCGGAGCGCTCTCAGAGCGTTCCAGAACGCTCTGGAGCCGCGGCGCCCAATACATCCTCCAAACCCGCCGATTCTCAGAGATTTCGAGTCATCCCGATCCGATTCTGTCCCGACCTTCGCGTCGTTTTAGGGGGGGGCGCCCCCCAGTGCCCCCGCCTCGAGAAGCACGTGCAGGATGACGGCAGCAGTCGGGTGGTGGCAGTTCTGGTAGTAGTGGAACGGGGCGGGGGGGGCGCCCCCCAGTGCCCCCGCCTCGAGAAGCACGTGCAGGATGACGGCAGCAGTCGGGAGGAGCGCGGCGGCGAGGGGGAGAGAGGCGGGCGAGGAGTGCCGGGCGGGCGTCTCGCTCCCTCCCGGGGGCCCCGCCGGCCCGGGCCGAGAGCGCTCCGCGGGCTCCCTGCCAGGCCGGCCACGCCCGGGGGAGCTGCACGCGTGCGTCGAGACGCCGGGGGGGGGGAGGAGAGTCAGGGGAGCAAGATGTCATGATAAGGCTGCGTGCCAGGATGTCCAGGGCCTCCACGAGCTTCCATCTCTCTCTCCCGAAGGCTCCCGCCGGCGTCGCCGCGGGATGCTCCGTGGAGATCCTGGAACGCATCCCGGGCCACTCTTCTCACGACGGCATGCTCGCCCTCGAGAGGGAAGGGGCCCCTGGGAGCCTGCAGGGGCCCAGCCGCACAGCCCTTTTGGCTCAAGGCCTTTGTCTCGAGGCTGCCCGGCCAGCGCTGGGGCGAGGTCCCAACGGGGCGAGCGACACCCCAGCAGGCAGGACAGGCGGGATCGGCCCCAACCGACGCGGTTATAGCTTGTTGAGCCCGCAGAGCGGGAGCCGCGGCGGGCTCCCGGGAGGAAGTGCGTACGTTTTTGGGAATCGGTGGGTGTTCGGGGGTGCGGTTTCGACGAGAGTCGGTACCAATCGGTACAGTTCTTTCTTTGGGCCATCTTGGCGTCCAGTCAGGGTTTTCTTCGGTCTCGGGATCCCGCCGAAGGCCTTTGGGGATCCATGGGGTACGAAATGCGTGAGGGGTGTGCCGAATCGAGGCTCCCTTCAGCCGCAAGTGAAGGCCTCTTGGATCCCTGGGGGCCCATGAGGCTCGAACTGCGTGAGGGGTATGCCGACTTGATGCTCCCTTGAAACGTCCGAGAGGTCGATTGGGCGCCTCTTGAGGTATGTGTGGCACGACGATCCTGAAGGGTTTCTCTAAATGAGGCCCTCGTGGCCCTAGTAGCGCGCATACGTCGTATTTCCATTTGTTCCCGGATAGCGGGGACAATGTTGGCAAGACGAGCCAGCGCTTCTAGCATGCATTTAAGGATGCAATCTCATCGAGCTAGCCTGGCATCGTGCTGCTATGTCTGCTTCTCCTCCTCCCTTCCGAACTAGCGATGTAATACATGATCATTACGCGTGCAATCGCATCATCCCCCACTGCATCATCATTTCAGCATCGAACCTTTGGTGCTTGCTAGAATGCTCAGAAGCCACCCCCAGTCCAGGATTCTTCCAGGTGTCCCCACGGTTCTCTCTGGAGCTCCCAGGTGTTTGATGAATCGCAGGACAATTTTTGGACTCCGCAGGATTCTGTCAGGAGTCCAGTGCAATCCGCAGGCAGGGTTGATCAGGATGTTCTGGATTCGCTGGAGTTTTTTTAGCATTCTCGTAGGATTCTCTTCGGATTCTCTCAGGCGTCTCTCAAGATTCTCTGAGGAAGCCTGAGGATTCCCTCAGGATTCTTTCATGATGCCTCATGAAGATCGTGAGACTTCTCAGGGCTCCCTCAGGATTCCTCATGATCTGCTCAGGCATCCTCCCTTTCGAAAGGGGCACCAGGATTCCCTCGAGGGGCGCTCAGGCCTCCTGCAGGACCCCCCTGGACTCCTCCAGAGAGCCTCAGAAGCCTCTCAGGAGCTTCAGGACCCCTCCGGGATCCCTCGGGGTATCTCAGAGGCTTCTGGGAGGCTGCCCAAAGGTTTTTCGGACGCCGCTGGGACCGCTGCCGCCGCCGCCGCCGCCGCCGCCGCCGCCGCCGCCGCCGCCGCCGCCGCCGCCGTCGTCGTCGTCGTCGTCGTCGTCGTCGTCGTCGTCGTCGTCGTCGTCGTCGTCGTCGTCGTCGTCGTCGTCGTCGTCGTCGCCCTCGGGGCCGGAGCCGTCCTGCCGGGTACCTCGCCCGCCCCGCTGCGATCGGCCCCTCCCCCAGCGGCGCGCCACCGCCGCTGGGCGTCCCATGGCGGCGCGCGACGGCGGCGGGGGTCCGGAGGGCACCGCCGAGGTCGCCGAGCGGCGCCGGCAGCACGAGCCGCCGCGGCAGGAGCCCGGGCAGGGGGCCTCGCGGAAGCGGCAGGCGAGCCTGGGGTCCGGCAGGCGCTGGCCGGACTGCCTCGGGGGCGGCCGCTGAGGGGGGTGACGGCTGCGGCCGAGACGCTGAGAGAAAGACCACTTCGGGGTCGGGAGGGGCTCCGGTGTTCGTGCCGTTCTTTGTCTGTACACATGTAATGATGTATGGATGTATACATATAACGGCGCACCGGGTCCGGGGGCCCGGGGCCGGGACCCCGACCACGAATGTGGGCTCCGGGGGGCCCGGAGGCTCGTCGGGGCTTGCCGGAGGCCTCCCAGGTCAGACAAGACGGCCCAAGAAGCGCCCAAGACGGCCCAAGCAACTTCCAAGAGGCCTCTAAGAGGGCTCCAAGATGCTGAAGATGGCCTCCAGACGTCCAAGGACGCCCCCAAGACGCCCCAAGAAGCCTCCATCATGCGCCCCAAGAGGGCCCCTAGACGCAAAAATTGGCCCATTCCCTTCGTAAAACGTACATTTTTCACAAAGTTGCCTTTTGGGCTTTCCGACGTTACAGGACGGCCCAAGAGGCGCCCAAGACCGCCCCAAGACGGCCCAAGAAGCTTCCAAGAGGGCCCCAGGCCCAAGAGGGCCCCAAGACGGGCCCAAGAGGGGGCCCAGAGGGGGACCACGAACCGCAAGCTCGAGCCTTCCGCCCCAAGAGGCCGCCAGGAGGCCCCAAGGAGGCCCCTCAAGAGGTCCCAGGAGACCCCCAAGAGGCCCAAAGGAGGCCCCGAGAAGCCCCAAATCGGCCCCCAAAATGCTTCGAACCTGCTTCCAGGAGGCCTCCGACAGGTTCAGAGGCTCCCGAGAAGCTACGTCAAACTCCCAGCGAGCGGCCGGACGAGGCCCCCCAAAAAATCCCAAGAGGGTTCCAGTATTTGTATCCTTCAGCGCTCTCTGGCCTTCTTCCCCCTGCCCCCTTCCCTGCGACTTTCGTTGACTCAAGCTCGCCTCCTCTCCATTTCCTCTCTCTGCCTCTCTCTCTCTCTGTCTTTTTTTTGTTTCTCTCTCCATCTCTCTTTCTCTCTCTCTCTCTCCTTCGCTCTCTGTCTGTCTGTCTCTCTCTCCCTCTCTTTCTCTCTTTCTCTCTCTTCCTTTCACATTATGTGTCCTTGCGACCTTCTGTAGTCCCCGACGTCGCCACGGCTGGATCCGCTCGAGCGTGTCTTGTGATGTGCGGCGGTGCGAAGCCCGTCCCACTGATCAAGGCACAGGTACGAAATGATGGGTCCATCATTTCTTGCCTTCCCATGTGCGTTTTCCCAATCGATTCTATAGGCTTACGCCACATCCGCCGACCCCTTGTTTTTTTGTGGAGGAGGAGGAGAAGAAGGAGGAGGAGGAGGAGGCGAGGCGGGGAGGGTGAGGCGGAGTGGAGGACGCGAAATCGATAATTGAAGGTGGGGTCGGGGGCCTCTTGGGAGCTCCGGGAGCGGAGATGGTTCGTGGAGCGGGGAGGGGCGACGAGGAGGTGGATATCACGGCTGGGGCCGTGAGATCTTCCCAGATCTCATCGCTCTCACCCCTTTTGCTGTCTTTACCGTTCCCCTAGCCCCTTCTCGGCCGCGCACGCGCCTCGGGCCCTGATCTGCGAACTCTCCTCTTGGACGCTCCCCTCCTGGAACAGACCTGAGTCGGCGCGGCCGCGGCGACGGCCGAGCCCGGCCGCGTGGAGCGGGAGGGGGTGTGGCGACGCGGCTGGGCGCGCCGCCGACTGCGCGGGAAGCGCCATCGGATCGGCAGCGGGTGGCGGTGGAAACGCGGCCGGGGAGAAAGGAAAGGAGAAAGATCCATCGGGGGGCGTCGGAGACGGCGCCCCCCCAGCGGACGCAATGCAGCAGGCGTTCTACAATGTCGGCGTAGACGCGGCGTCGAAAGATCCCCGACGGACCCGAGAAGTCCTCGTGGCAGCTGCTGCAGCCAGTGTACGGCGTCACCCAACCGTGCCCGCGGATCCAGACGACCCCGCGCAACCATGGTCGCAAGCCCTGGCGGAGGACATGGCCGTGGAGTTGCCAGTCGTGCACTGTGCGTTCGTGGGATGTACGTGGCGGTCGGAGGTAGTAGGCGAGTTGTGCGGGCACGTCCGCGAGGTGCACGGTTCCGTCGTGCTGCCCATCGCCGAACTTGTTCATCCAGCGGACGAGGACGAGGACCTCCGTATCACGGCGGCGTACAATGCAATCGTTGCACGTGCTGTTCGGGGTGGTGCGCCGCTAGCGGCATACTCCTTGCACAGACGGAGCCTGGCCATGTACGCGAAAGCAACGCAACAGAAGAGCATCGCGTCTCCAATTTGTTTTCTGTGCGCCTGCACGTTTCCTTGGGTGGAAGGTAGACGGGGGAACCAGATTGCCTGGGAGCAACCGTTTAAGGCAGCCGTGGGCGACCCGACGCGGGTGGTTCGGTTTGGTGATTGGACCATGAAGGAAGTGCAAGCGCGGTTCAGCATCGACGCGTACCTGCGGGACTACTGTCACGAGCCAGGGAACAGCGCATTGGACCTCGAGGAGGCGTGGTATCGGGAAGACTTCACGGACTGGCTTGTGAAAGTGCCGACACCGTGCGGTGAAGTGTTAATTCTGTGTTGCCCCGAAGATCAGCGGTGCCACAGGGGGTGCCAGGAGAAGGGAACCGCGTGTCCCGAATGCGAAGTGCCTCTTTGCGAGGAATGCAAGGTAGAGGTGGAAACGCCGTATCGGCGGCGAGTTGCCGCGACCCCGGCGGTCCCGCGCCGGAGCCTTGCGAACGACTTGATGGCGTTCTATGCGCCAGATCGCATGTGCACCGAGGGCATGACGGTGATGGAGATGATTTGTTGCAGCCCTTGCATTACGTCGATGATTTGTTTTTCGCTGGGGGTGAAGTACCAGAACGACCGGGAAAGCAGTGCGGGCAGAGAGAACCTGTTTGACAGCACGGCAGGGTTCCACAGCGGGCGTCTGGCGGCGCGCGGGAATGCTACGAGCTTCTTGCTGCCGTGGCAGGGGATATTACGAGAGCTCCGTCAGCTCGAGAAGGAAGGGCGCCAGGGCGGCGACTCGGCGGTGCCAATCGTGGGTGAGAAATTGGGGTCGGTGGTGCAGATCCATCTGAAAGTCAACGACGCCACGAGCAAGGACAACCTGCCGCGTTTCATTCATCAGGCAAATGTACGGCGCGAGGTTGTGAAGCGCCACATCAAGATGATGAAGCACCGCGGGCACCGAGCTTTCGCCAATGTCAACGTGGAGGCGATGGAGAGAAAGGCCGATCAATTGCCGCAGGACGGCGTGCCTCCGGAGATTGTCCGGCTGCTTCCGCACGACACCACGTTGGACAAGCTTATGGTGCAGAAGAACGCGACGCCCTGTGATGGGGCGCGAGATTCGGTGGGAGCGGCTGCGCGCGACATGGACTTGCGTACGCCGAATGCCGTCATGATGGAGAAGTCGTCGGTGGACGAGGTGGATGCAAACAGATTGAGGCAGGGTGCGTTTGAACATGTGTCGGGCAGGCCGCGCGCCGCAAACGCGGTCGTACAGACTGGCGCATTGGCAATGGAAGCGAAAAGCTTCGCGCTGCGTCTGGCAAGTACGTGGACAGGCAGGTGCGACAGACCCGAGTGCCCGTGCGGTGGAGACAGGGACGAGCGTGCTCTTGCGAGGACGAGCAGAATGGGAGACAAGGCGGCCAACGTGGATACGGAGACATTGCAATTTCGGCTTTGGGAGATGCTGGAAACAGACGCGACCCGCATTCGGTACGTGGTGTATCCGGGCCGTGCGATGATGAATCAGTTTGTGCCGTGGTTTTTCGGCGTGGCATTCCCGTTTTGTTTCAAGTACGGGGTGGGCATGCCGGACATGCCTGAGTGGCAGGAGAATGCGCGACATCGACGTGGCCCAGCGGCGCCCCGCGTGGAGCTGGCTCTGTGGGCGCGCATCATGACGCGTCGGGTGGAGTCTCAATTCCGGCGCGAGTGGCGGTTTGGTTTTACGGTGTCGTCGGTTTTGTTTCAAAGTTCCGTGAATATGGCCCGATCCGTCCGCTTGGCGGACTATAGAAAGGACGGGGAGACGGAATGCCAGTATTCGCAAGGCGAACTCGAGAAGGCAGCCGTGAGCATCGTAGATGCTTTGTATGGTACGTACAAGGATCCGTCAACCGGGAAATCCTCCAACGTGCGCGGAGATTTCTCGAAGCTGAAATATGTGAAGTCGCTCGACCCGATAGCGAAACGATTGGCTGCAGGAGCCAGCGCGGTCGCTCGCAAGATCGAAGGGACCAACGAGGTGCGGACGCTCATGAGGTACGACACCCATGCTGCTCGAATCGCCCACGGGGTACCGTTGTTTTTCACCATGTCCCCAGACGAGAGGCACAACCTGGTAATGGTGCGGCTGTCGCGGTCTCGAAGAAAGGACCCCGTGAATCGTAGTGCTGCGCGGGAACTGCACGGCCCCACGCATGGCGGGTTGTGGGAGCCGTCGCTGGCGCACAAGGATGAAATATCTGGACATGCCGTGACGAGAGATCGGCGCGGGCGGGCGGGGGAGGGCGGATCGGGCACAGAGGGGGCAGAGGGTGATGACGACATTGACATGGCAGTGCCTCTGGCGATGTTGGCAGATGCCGTTCCCGCGTCGGACGAGAGAAGAGCAGTGCTGGCTCGGGGCCCGCTGGCGGGCGTCGACGGGTTTCGGGTAATCGTGGGCCTTGTGTTTGAGTACATATTGGGCATGCGGTATTGTCCGAGGTGCCCAGATTGCGAGTGCGCGGATTTGCTTGGCAGCAACGCGACGGCGGTGGGTGGGTGCTTGGGTCGCGTGGACGGGGTGTACGGCAGCATTGAAGCTCAGAAGTCGGCTGGAAGTCTGCATTTGCACGTGCAAGTATTCGTTCAGTGTTTGCACCAGCATACCC